CACCGCCGTTCCGGTGCCCAGGGCCTGGGCCGAGGGAACAGAGCGCGTGTCGGTCACAGGGCCCGAGACCCAGGTGGACAGCACGGGACCGAATGCCAAATACCGAGTCCCCGCTGAGGCTCCTGCTCCGCTTCCCAGCGAAATTAAAAACATACATCACTGCGTTTTAATTATGCAAAAACGACGCGACGATACCTTTTATAAACCTTTTTTAAACATTACGTTGAGAAGCATTTCATCTCCGGCTTCGACCTGGACCCCAGCCTTAGCTCTTCGACGTAACCCCTGCGGGGCGGGGGCGGAGGCGCGTGTCTGTGTCTGTGGGCGTTCGGCGAATCCTGGGTCTTACCTGAGCCCCCGCGGGCTGTGCTGCGGGGACCGTGTGTCCTCGACCCACACGGACGGGGGGAGGGAGGCCTGGGCTCCCACCTTCCCGGGAGCACTGGGGTGTCTGCCGCCTGTAGCCCCTTCCCGCGGCCCTCAGGCCGTCTTCCCGACATTAGCGACGCGCCCGTCGAGGCCCGAGGCTGCTGCAGCTCCAGGCTCAGGCTTGACCTTTGGACGTGGCGGGTCTGACAGGGGCCACGCGGCTCCACTTGGATCAGCGCCCTGGCTTCTAGAGCCGCTCGTCCCGGGACCGGAGACGCCCAGGTCGCTCGGGCCGGGGGGAGCGTCCTCTCTTCTCTGCAACCCCAGAGCCTGTACCTTTTGTTGGTGTTGTTAACCCCCACCCGAGGGTATGTTTTTCACTCATTTTCAGAGAGAGGAAGGGAGGGAGGGAGAGCGAAACCTCGATGTGAGAGAGACGCGTCCATCGGTTGCCTCCCGCATGGGCCTGGACCGGGGCCGGGGCTCGAACCTGCAACCCAGATACGTGCCCTTGACCGGAATCAAACCCGACACCCTTCCCTCTTTCCTTCCTCTCTCTCCAAAAAATAAAAATAAAAATCTCTAAAATCAATAAAAACATATTTTTAAAAGAGAAACGAGAAAGACACACGTGATTGCAGCACCCCCGGGAAGGCCGGGCGCTAACCCTGGGCTCTCTCTTGCCGTGTTTCCTGCAGAGCCAAGGTAAAGAAGGGGGTGAACGTCCTGAGCGCCCGGAGCAGCGAACCCCGGCAGTGGGACGTCCGGCAGGAGCTGGGGAATGGCGGGAAGCACACCACCAGCACCCTCGTGTGCCAGCGCCTGGCGCCCAGCGCCCGCAACAGGTAATGAAGCGCCGCCTCCCACCGCGGGCGCCATGCGGGTCCTCCTGACCCACTGTCCGCCTGAGAGGCCGGACTGACGCTCATGGTCACCACGGCCCAGCGCAGCTGCTCGGCCCCCGGCCCTCACGTCAGGGGCGGCACCGTGTGGCGTCTGAGCGGAGGGTGGGGAGCGACGCTGGAGGGCTGTTGTCTGGTCTTTGGAGTAGAGACAAGTTAGCGAGGTCCTACTGTGCGTCCCCAAGGCTGAGGTGTGCTGTTCACCTACGGGTGTGTCCTGGGGCCGTGTCGTCTCCCGGTGCCCCACCCCCGAAATGGCCAGAGGCGGCTTGCTTACGGGCTGGGCATCCTTCGCACACAGGGCCCGACTCAGTCATGAGCGGGGAGGGATTTAAAGACAGGAGGTGATGCCCTGGCCAGTGTTGCTCAGTGGTTAGAGCATCAGCTTGGGGACCGAAGGGTAGCGGGTTCGATTCCCGGTCAAGGGCATGTACCTGGGTTGCAGGTTCGATCCCTGGCCCTGGTCAGAGTGCGGGAGGCAACCAATCGATGTTTCTCTCCCTCCCTCCCTGCCACTGTCTTTAAAAATCAATGGAAAAAATATCCTCACATGAGGTTTAAAAAAAAAAGCGCCTTCTTTGCCCTTCACCTTCCTCCTTTGCCCGAGTCTTCCTTATGCCTGCCTGGGCGGGTCGAGCAGCTGGGGGTCTAGTAGCGAGAATTCCCCAAAGCCCGGGGGTGAGCCCAGGCCCGAGGGAGGGCCCCTCTACCCCCCAATCCTGGCTCTCCGGGCTTCAGTCCTTCGGGGGAAATGCCAAATCTGTCTGATCTGAAGACGAGATCATAAATAACGGCCGTGCCTGCGCCGTGAAGGACCCGCCAGGACTGAAGGAGTTGGTTTGCATTCAGGGCCCACGGGGAGCATTGGTTCTTGCGTTTTCCATGGAGCGAAGCTTCCTCGGGTCCTTCCTGACGTGTTTGCACAGCCGCCCAGACTCCCCGCATGGTGACTGGGACCAGGCACAGTGCTCTTTCCCGTGGGTGACACGTGTCGGTCACGGAGCCACGGCGTCCGCTGAGTCGGACGTCATCCCAGCAGCGTTCTCCCGGATGCCCGATACCGCTCGTCCCCTGGTGGATCCTCGTGGCCACACTCGTGTTGGAGTCTCAGTGGCTGGCTGGGTCGGGCTTTGTTCCCAACCTCAGGGCCTCCTGAACGGATGAGGGGTGACGGAGACGGACGTCGTAGCCTGTGGGCGCCTGTGGCTTGATTACTCCTGGCTCTGACCATTTATAAGTCAGCCCCAGAGGTCCAAGGTGTGTGGTGATTTGTCAGTTCTCGAAGGCACAGCTTCCCATCTGTTTTGCGTCTGTGTGTGGGAGGGGACAGGTGATCCATTCACACAGTTCCAGCCTCAAAGCATCGGCAAAATGACACAGCCTCTACCCCAGGCCTGCGCTCACCCAGCTCCCGGCCCGGAGGTCGTGAAAGTTCACACTTTTACACGACCCTTCCAAAGATATTTTATGCATTTGCAACACACACACGCATATATATATATTTCCTCCCTCACATCAGCATTAAACAACATCGCTTCCCTTTTTTCACCTAATAATATAGCGTGTAATTTTTCCACACCGACAGATGGTACGAAAGAAGCATATGGCATTAAGAACTCACACAGTGGGGGTGTTACTTTGGGGGGCAGGGGATGGTAGCCTGTGAAAGGGACCTGCTGAAGGCAGTGAACATTTTTAAAAAGGTTATTTTTATGTCATGTAGGAGCCTAAAGCGGTTTGCTGCCCGTAGCTCATCATGAGCCCAGGTTCCTTCCCTGTTGTTGCTCTGGGTGTCCGAGGGCTTCCTGAGCTCCCATGGTCTGAGACGGGCACCAGTGCACAGGAAGCCCCAATGGGCAAGTGGACCAGGGTGAGGGCTGTGGGCGCCAGGCCACGGAGAAGTGTTTTTGTCTTTATTTGAAGGACAGTAAGGAGCCTTGACAATATTTCAGGCAGGATGGGGGCACAGTCGCTTTTATGGAAGCACTGTTCCTGGCAAGTGTAGAGAAAACAGATGGGGAGAGAGTCCAACAAGACACATGAAGTGAATTAGACGAATGCAACAGCCCGAAATAAGAAGTTTAAGTCCCTTCTACCTGCCCCCACCACCTTCCTCCAGGCTGCAGGAGTCTCCACAAGACCGGAGACCTCACGCTTCTCTGCTTCAGCACCTTCCATGCCGACCGGCACCAGGCATTTTGAAAGGGCAGCCACACCCCCTCCCTTGGCAAAATACCCGAGGGTTTTGTTCAGGAGAAAACACACCAACACTTACTAGGAAATAATTTTTTTTTTTAAAGGAAGGTTATTCTAATAACCTGAAACGAATCCTCCAGCCCTAGCTCGCTGCTCTTCTCCGGGACGCGGTGACAGCTCGTTCCGTGGGCCGTTCGCCGAGCCTCCCCGGGTAACCTAATAACGCTCCTCTCTCCGTGTCCCTGTCACGTTAACTCTTCATAACTAGTCCTCGATTATTCCACCTCCAGGGCGGCGTCTCCTCACCAGCCGCGTGTAACTAGGCTAAACGGCAAAGACGCCCCATCCAGCATGCCTGCAATTCCCCGCCTCGGGAGGCCGCTCCCAGGCTCGCGTAAGAATAAAGGCAGGTCACCCTAATACTCGGGGGGCGGGGGGGGCTCTCCCGCCGAGGTCGCCCCGCCCACGGTTCCGCACGGAGACAGAACCAGCTCGTCGCCCCCGGGAGCCACGGCGGTCGCCAGGCAGGTGCGCGTTGGCTCGGACCAGAGGGTCCGCTGCTGCGGCAGGGGGACCCCTCCCCGAAATCACGGATTCAGCAAGGAGACGGTTTCTGTGTGGCTTCCCGTTTGAGGTCCTGAGGCAGGTCCGAGCACGGTTTTCACTGTCTCGCAAACACAGGCGCTCAGCGTACCGACGGCTCAGCGAGAGAAAGCGCTGTCCCTTCTTCCGCGGTGTGTGTGGACCCCTCCCAGGGGACGCGTGGCCAGCCCGGCCGGGGCTTGGCTGCTTAGAGCACTGTCCGGATGCGCCGAGGTTGTGGGTTTGATCCCGGGCAGGGCACACACGAGAATCAGCCAATAAGTGGAGCAGCAAATTCATGCTTCTCTCTCTCTCCTTTGCTCTCTCTCTAAAAATCAATTTTAAAAAAACCTAAGACTGTGCCCTGGCCGGTGTGGCTCAGTGGTTAGAGCATCAGCCTGCACACCGAAGGGTCCCGGGTTCGATTCCCGGTGAAGGGCACGTACCCGGGTTGCAGGTTCGACCCCCAGGCCTAGTTGGGGCGCGTGCGGGAGACCACCAGTCGATGTGTGTGTCTCTCCCCCCCTTCCTTCCACTCCCTCTAAACATCAATGGAGAAAATATCCCCGAGTGAAGGTGAACAAAAAATGTAAAAATAAAAATTAAAAACAATAAAGGAAGAATTCACATCGAAAGAACAGAGAGCCCCCTGACCAAGGAGC